CAGTCCATCTTTGGGAGAGGACATATACTTGTAGTAAATTCCAGCTGGTGACTATACCATGTTCCCATGCAATTGCTGCTGCGATCAGAGAAGGGATCAGAGTAGACACAATGGTGGGAGTGCTCCATATAGTCCCTAAGATTGGCTTACCAAGAAATTATAATGCCGGTACCGGATATGGCTACAATGGCCCCATCGCCAAGTGATATTGGAAGAGGGAAGCTGGCCCCACCGTATGTTCGCAAACCACCGAGGCGACCAAGAAAAAGATGTATTTTGTCACGAGGAGAGTTCAAGTTCAAGGTAAGGAAATATACAATACATGACCATTGCGATATTAAAAATAAACTATTAGTTATTGCGGGAAGCTAATACTTAGGGGGATATGAAATTGTTTAGAGGACATCCAGTAAACGTTGCAGTCGCTGCCGTTCGCTGGGACACAACCGGGCCACTTGCAGAGGCCCAGTAACAGTAAATAAAATAATATTTAGTTAAATATTGTTTTACCTTAATAAATGTAGTGTAACCAAAATGGGCAAATGCAGGAGCAGTAGAATGTTGGGAAGACGAGTTTTTTGGCGGCTGACACAAAGGATGGAAGCATTGGGCAACTACGAAGACCTCAACGGGATGTGTTATAAATAAGGAAGAGGAAGGCATTAGAATATTTTTGTTGTATAGAAGAAAGCGGAATCTTGTGCCTAACTATGTATAATTATGTCAGCATATACCCATCCAAACAATGAAGCCAGTTAATGATATATAATTAAAATGAAAATTCGGAGCAGACATAACAAATCAACATAATTAATAGGTTAACAGCTAACAAAATCTCTATACTATTAAAAGAGAAGTACAAATGAAAATGGGTCGGGTTAAAATCAGAAAATTGACCCGAAATTCTGAAATCAGATATTTAAAATTTTTTTGGAATATAAATTCGAATTAATAATGATAATCGAATTAAAATCAAATATTTATGGAAATCAAATAAAATCTGATTGTACTTATGGTAACTAATTATAAAAGCATATTATGAACAATATTATACATTAATTACGTATAATAAATTTGTTCATATATTTTTTGAACTAATTCCATAGCAATCAACGTTTTTGTCATTAATTTCCCTCATTTTAGCCAATTATCATTAATTGAAAGATATCTTACTTGTTTCTAAAGATTTCTAGAAAATTTATCACAAATAATCCATCTGTTTTATAAATTAAATTGATATTTTTAATTTAATTAGATTAAATTAAAATTAAGGTATTTTCATACCAATAGCTTACCAAAGAAGTTTAATTATAAATTTATAAAGATTTCTTGAATATCATTTAGAATTATTCAACAAGATGATAAGTATTTATTAAATTTTGTGAATCATGAAAATTAATAATTAATTTTTAATCATTATATTTCATCTTCAATCTCTCATCTAACAAATAATGATACATATTCTATTATTCCTATGTCCAAACTTCATTTTGTTGTATGACTAAATAATATTCTCACACTACAAGAAAACCTGCAATTTGGGACTCCTTGTTGTGACTATTTATTTGGTCGCAAAAAAGAGCGACTATTTTGTAATTGATATGCGACTCTTAAACGACTACAATTCAAGTAGATGTAAAATAGTCGCTAATTAGCGACGGAAACACATAGTTGGAAAACAGTCTCAATTTAGCGACTCATATCCGACTGTTTTGCCATTCTATTTATTTAGTCGCAAAAACGTCGCACTATGAGACCACTTAGCGACCTAATATGTAGTCAAAAAAATCAGTCGCACAGAAGTCCCAATTTAGCGACGTTTTTGCAACTACATATTTCGATCACGGTTTAGTAGTAAATTAGTCACAAAATGTAGGTAAAAAAACGTGAAAAATACGAAAAAGTTAGGTGTACTGAATTTTGCGAATTATTTGATATCGGTCGCAAAAGAGTTACAAAAGTTGGCACAATGTGAAAAATGCGATAGAGTTAGGTGTACCAAACTTTGTGACTCCTCAACATCAGTCACAAAAGAGTCACAAAATCTTCACTATATATACAAGGCCTTCGTCATTTTATTTCTCATTCCATCCAACTTCAAATTAAGAGAAAAAACGTAAGGAGAAAGAAAGAAAAAACGAAGGAGAGAAAAAAAAAGAAAAAAAAAGAGAGAAAAAAAAAGAAAAAAAAGAGAGAAATAAAAGAAAGAAAAAAACGATGTGGAATAATCCATCACGCGAATGGATGTACAACTGAATCGATCCATACACTAGTCATGTTTCGGGAGAGTATTTGGCTGGTGTGGAACAGTTCATCGATTTTGCGAGCTCTCACGTTGAAGACAGAAAAGGTCGGTTTTATTGTCCTTGTGTAGTCTGTCAAAATTCTAAACGCATGAAAGCTGCCACAATTTCGAGTCATTTGCTTAGTAGGGGGTTTATGGTGAATTATTATGTATGGTATGAACATGGTGAAGATTATAATGTTGTTGGGGAGGGAACTAGTAGTCATCATGAATATGCTGATAATACCAATTATACTAGTGGTACGCATGAACCAATAGGATTTGATGGGGAGAATGTATATGATGGGATGGCTAATGATGGGGAGAATGTATATGCTGGGATGGTTAATGATGCATTTCATGGTTCTGTACCATATAACGAATATAATGAACATGATCAAAGTGGAAACGATCATGTTCATGAAGAACCCACCCAAGAAGCAAAACGATTTTATGACATGCTAGCTGCCGCAAACACTCCACTTTACGATGGATGTCGGGAAGGTCAATCGCAATTATCGTTGGCAGCTCGGTTCATGAACAATAAGGTGGACTACAATTTGTCAGAAACTTGCATGGACGGATGGGCAGAATTGTTTACAGAATATTTACAAGAAGGTAATCAAGCGACCGGTTCCTACTACGAGACAGAGACTTTGATGCGAAAGCTAGGATTGCCGTACTATACATATGATGTATGTATAGATAATTGTATGTTGTTTTGGAAAGATGATGAGAAGTTGGGGAATTGCAAGTTCTGCGGAAAACCAAGATACAAGGAGAGTGAAGGAAGAACAAGAATACCATTTAGTAAGATGTGGTATTTACCGATTGGGGACAGATTGAAGAGAATGTATCAATCTCAAAAGACTGCAGCTTCGATGAGATGGCATGCTGAGCATGAATCGGAAGCGGGATTAATGTGTCATCCATCAAATGCGGCTGAGTGGAAGAATTTTCAGCAATTCCATCCCTCATTTGCAGAAGAACCGCGAAATGTTTATCTTGGATTATGTACTGACGGTTTCAATCCTTTTGGCATGTCCAAAAATCATTCGTTGTGGCCCGTGATCTTGACTCCATACAACTTGCCTCCTGATATGTGCATGAACAGTGAGTATTTGTTTCTTACAATTTTGAATTCGGGACCAAATCATCCACGAGCCAGTCTTGATGTTTTCCTCCAACCACTGATCGAGGAGTTGAAAGAGTTATGGCATAACGGAGTTGAGGCATACGATGTGTCATGTGATCAAAATTTCATACTTAAAGCCGTCCTTTTGTGGACTATTAGCGATTTCCCAGCATATGGCATGTTATCGGGATGGACTACACATGGAAGAATATCGTGCCCAATTTGTATGGAGGATACAAAATCATTTTGGTTGCCAGGTCGTCGGAAGACATGTTGGTTTGATTGCCACAGAAGATTTCTTCCTCTTAACCATCCTTTACGGAAGGACAAAAAGCACTTTGTGAAGGGTAAAAATGCAGTGAACGAGTATCCACCTCAATCGTTGACTGGTGAACAAGTTTTATATGAGCTTATAAAGACTGCCGAGCCGCCTAAGACATCTGACTGCGGAAGAAATGGGCATGAAAATAAAGTGGATGGGTATGGAGATTGGCATAACTGGCACAAAGAAAGCATACTGTGGGAGCTACCTTACTGGACCGATCTAAATCTACGACACAATCTTGATGTGATGCATATTGAGAAAAATATTCTCGATAACGTCATGTACACTGTGATGAATGTGAAAGACAAATCAAAAGACACTGTGAAGTCAAGAATAGATGTTTCCAGATTTTGTGATCGGCCTGAATTGCATGTTGATGATCGAGGGAGAGCTCCATTTCCTATTTGGAGATTGAGTGCGAAAGCAAAAAAAAGTCTCCTTGAATGGGTCAAATCAGAGGTCAGATTTCCAGATGGCTATGTAGCAGATTTAGCTAGTTGTGCAGATATCAATGCTGGCAAGTTTTCGGGAATGAAAAGTCACGACTGCCATGTATTTATGGAACGTTTGCTTCCGTTTGTGTTTGTAGAACTCTTGCCGCGAAACGTACATCTTGCATTATCAGGTAAATATATTTAATTTATAAATATATGTTTGCTCTATATATAAAATAATATGACTATTAATTTTATTTTATTTGTATTGTAGGCATTGGAGCATTTTTCCGTGATTTAAGTACTCGATCATTGGAGCTAAGTCGCATCCAACTTTTGAAGGAGAATATTGTCATGATTTTGTGCAACTTGGAAAAAATATTCCCACCTTCTTTCTTTGATGTGATGGAGCACCTACCTGTACACCTACCATACGAAGCAGAGCTTGGCGGTCCAGTTCAATATAGATGGATGTATCCTTTCGAAAGGTTTTTTAAACGTTTGAAAGGCAAGGCGAAGAACAAAAGATATCCAGCGGGTTCAATCGTTCAATCGTACATGAATGATGAGATATCATACTTCTCGGAACACTATTTTGCATCGCACATTTCTACAGCTATTAGAAAAAGGTATTTCATACTATATTATAATGAGAATACCATTATTTTAATAAAAGCAAATATTTTTATGAATTAATATATATACTTATGTTCGCAGGACAAGTCGGTATGATGAAGGTGAAGTTCCTGTATATCCTGTCCCGGTACCAGACATATTCACACAAGTCGGTCGTCCAAGTGGCAAAAGTAGTGAGTCGTCCAAGTGGCAAAAGTAGTGAGTTCTGGTTAACTGAGCAAGATTATACATGCGCACATGCATATGTTTTGCGTAATTGTGACTATTTTCGACCGTTTGAAAGGTATACGTACATTTTTACCAAGTAATAATATTAGTTTTAAGAGTGTTCTCTATATTAATCGACTAATGAGAATATCTTTTTACACATCCAACAACAGTATGTTGGACGCGCAAATTCGGGATGAATATCCAGAACTCTCTGATGATGAGGTCACCTCTAAAAGAGACGAAGATTTTCATTTATGGATTCGCCAATACGTACGTCGTATACACTAACGATCTCACTTTAAATCGACTCATGGATTGGATATATCTTTACTATAATCTATATAATTTTCATTTTAGGTGGAAGCAACGAGAAATCATCAAAATTTTCCTCCATGGGTTCATGAACTAGTGGAAGGTCCTGAAAACAAAGTCAAGTCATGGCCCATGTATTTTACTAGAGGATATATGTTTCACACGCGGAATCATGGGCGCACAAGAAAGACAATGAATTATGGAGTATGTGTTCGAGGACAAAATTATTCTGAAGCATCTCACGAAGAAGATTTTTTTGGGACTGTGGAAAAGATAATCGAGCTCGAGTATCCAAGACTGGTTAACTTAAAGATCACACTTTTCTACTGTGAATGGTTTGACCCAAAGGTTGGCAAAGGAATTCGTATTTCAGATGGAGGCGTTGTAGACGTGCTACAATCAAAGAGATACCAAAATTACGAACCATTTATTTTAGGTAATTTTTCATCCTATTTTCAAGTATTTGCTAGAGACGATCTTATTTTATTTCAAATTTTTGGCTTTGTACAGGGTCTCAAGCTGATCAAGTGTGTTATCTGTCATACCCGAACACAAAACGACCTCGAAAAACGTGGCTTTCAATTTGCAACGTTAATCCAAGGAATGTTGTTCAAGGGAAGTTTACTGAAAATGATAAGGTTATACTGCAACAATCTGTTGATGATGCACCTACGAGCATGATTGAAGAAGTTATAGTGGAGAGCTTAGTTGACGGAAATCATCAAGATGAACCTATCGATTTTGATATTGAAGATGCTGAAGGAGAAGACGAATTTCATTGTAATTCATCAACATCCGAAGATGAAGATGAAGAAGAAGGTGAAGATGAAGAATAATTATAAATATAAGTCATTTGTAAAATAATTGACTAAATTTTAATGTGTGTTTTGTAATATATTTTAATTAAATGGCTTGATGATTTGATATGTTTATTTACTAGTTTTGGTAAACATTTAACGATTAATTAAACAGCCAATTTGGTTACAAACTTGCCATACTTGAAAGCAGGTTCTCAGTTCGAGTCAAGTAGAGCTTTTTTTTCCATCATTTTACTAACAGTCACAAAACAGTCGCACTTTTGCCACCATTCTGCGACTAAACAAGATAAACGATCACATCTACCAAACGGTCACAAAAACGTCACACGTTTGCCACCCTTTTGCATCTAACACCTGAGACTTAGCGACTAAAAATGAGAATATATCACCATTTTTCAAAACAGTCGCAAGAAGGTCATACTTCTGCCACCATTTTCCGTCTAACACCTGAAACCTAGCGACTACTTTGCTACATATTACCAACTCTCGATATTGAACAATCCAAATTTCTAATTTGGGGTTTGTTTATATGTTCCATTATACGTTACTAGTGTGATATGATCGAATTTAGTTATAAATACTTAACCAACCTCTTGAATTTCAATGATTAAAAACCAAACATGCAAAAATACCTAATCCATATGAAGTGTTACATGTTCTTTTAAGAGAATGATAGGGAATTTATAACAAATTATGAAATAAGTTGTGGAAGCAATTTTTTACCTACCTAAGACTTATATATGTACTTTATGCTACTAAAATGAGTGTTTATCTTTGATTACAATCAATAGAATGAAACAAAATCCATAGATATCTAAATTTTATGTTGTGACGTGTTCTAGTCTGTCACAATTTAGTCACACATTGTGACTATTTTGTAACTTTAACGCGACTCGTACAAATGTTGCGACTATTTTAGGACAATCTTTGTGACTATTTGCCGACTTATTTTGCCACTGTCTTGCAACGTTTCCAAATTTTAGTAAAATTTTATCAAAATTTCACTAAGTCTTTGGGCGCTTAAGATTCCCACCAAATATTTTAAGGACCTACTCTTTTGCGACCAAAGTGGGACTTTTATCGTTAATTAGTAAACAAACACGACCTAGACATTTCATTTTCTCATCCTAGATCTAGGTTTTTGCCGAAAAAGCTCTCGCCTCTCTCCTCTTCTCAATCTCTTCGAATCGATTCTTCTTCGCAGTTCTAGGGTTTAATTCTACGAATCGATTCTTCTCTCCTCTTCTCTATCTACTCCAATCGATTCTTCAACACTTTTCTAGGGTTTTCATTTCACCTCTCTGCTTCTCTTTCAATCCTTCCTTTCTTCAAATTCTCTCTTTCGAATCCCTCTCTCGACTATAACACTTTCGATTCTCTAATGGCTCCTGGTAAGGGCAAGGCTTCCAGAGGTCGCGGAGGCAAATCGACCAGCCGTGGTCCAAGAGTCTTCCATGGTCAAAATCCACTTCTACCTGCGAGTCCAGTCCGAGCCTCCTCTCACTCGTCGAACCCTAATTCGGCGACACAGTCAGTAACCCAATCTCAGAGTCGTCGTCCTTCACAGTATCCGCCATCTACCCAAAACTCGACTCCTTCTCTCCAAACAACGCATGCTGGCTCTCAACAAACACCGCCTGCTGGCTCTCAACAACCGCCTGCTGGCTCTCAACAACCACCTGCAGCTCGTCGGAAACAAAAACCTCAAGGCCGTCATCAAAAGCCTTCTTCTTCTCGTCAACAACAACCTCCTCCTCAACAACAACCTCCTCAACAACAGCCTCCTCAACAACAGCCTCCTCCTCCTCAACAACAGCCTCCTCCTCCTCAACGACAGCCTCCTCCTCCTCAACGACAGCCTCGTCCTCAACAATAGCCTCCTCGTCAGGATCCACCGGAGCAACAGAACTTACCAATGGAGCTAAACGATAATAGTGAAGACGAGTTTGAGGAAGATGTAAATGAAGATAACCCTGAGGAACAGAATGAAGATCCAAATGTCGACTACCAAGAACTGTTGGATCGTTTGCTAGCCCTTCCAGGCCGAGAACATCTTCCACTTCTGTCTCCGAACCGGATACCAGAAGTTGAGACTCTCTGGTAATCTCTCTCCTTATATACTTTTGTCATTGACCATATTGTGATGATTTTGTGATTGATAATTAGCATCTGTATTGGAGTTACTTGTGTTTGTGATTGATATTGAGCATGTGTATTGGTATATTGGTGTATTGGAGCATCTGTGTACAGTTTATCTCTATTTTTTAAACACTGTGAAGTCATCTAGTCATGTCCTTTAGTAGAAGTTTGGAGAATTATTTTAGTTGATCCAAACTGAGTCTGATTCTTCAAGCTTTCAGACTTTCTATGGTTTATATTCAAGCTTTCAGACTTTCTTCACTAAATACAACTTATTTTAGTGGATTCTCCATATAATCAAACACATTTCATTCTCGCTGACTCTCTCTTAGTTGTTTTGCATCATCTAAAGTCGGTGATTTCAACAAATGAATATAATTAGGAGTATTTTTGCAATGTCTTAGTGCTTAACTAACATGAAAGGTACTTTATATAGACTTAATACTCTGTCTTTCATTACAGGTTTAATCGGCACAATGGAAAGCTGTCTAGAGTGATTGCTGGAATCTTTCGGAGGAAGTTTGATGGGCCTTACTTCAGCTGGAAGGTTACTCCAATACCCATTCGAGAGAGATACTTCAGAAGTTTTGCGGTAATGTCATATATACTTTTTATTCTGTTATTGTTTACTATATATGACTTAGTAACTTTGCTAACTTAACTACTTGTTGTGTAGCGGAAGTATAATTGGGATGTCGGGATTACTAAGCTTGTTAGAGAAGGATTCTTGGTGATAGCCAAGAAACGGTTGAAAGGGATTGTCAGTCAAGCAAAGCAGAGTGGTGTACAACCACCGTGGATCCGTGATACACTTTGGGCTGAGATGTGGGTGTATTGGAACACTGAGGATGCTATTGAGAGGAGTGAGAATGCTTCACAGTGCAGAAACTCTAATCGTGGAGGTCTTGGAGTGCACAAACACTTAGCCGGTCAGAAATCTTTTGTGCAAGTTCATCAAGAAATGGTAAGAATTCTCTTTCCATCCAAACAAATCATTTCTTTGATTTTCTAATATTGCTTCCATGATTTAAATCTGTTTGAGTTTAACTGTAGGAGGAAAATCTCAAGCGTCCTGTATCACTTGGCGAAGTGTTTATGCAAACACATACAAGGGCTGATGGATCATTTGTGGATCAAAAAGCTAAAGAAGTTGCTGAGGCGTATGCGAAGGGCATTGAAGACAGGATGTCTGAATTGGACGAGGAGGGTCCTCAGAATTCTGCTAATTCCTCTGAACATTCCACTGACCGTATGCTCAGCATTGATGAAAAGAATGAGATCTTTCTTAAGGTAATTGATTTCTGTTTTTATTTTGCTTAGTATCTGATTGTCTTGTTCTGATGATATGAGTAATTATGCATTCCTTTCTCTGTTTTTTTTAAGACTGAGTCTGATTATTATATGTGCATTATGGTTACTTAATCAGAATGATAATCGATTAACTGTGACCTATTTTTCTTTATGTCCACAAATTACAATGATGCATATAATGTTGGTTTGATGTTGATTATGTGATATATTAAAATTGTATATGCCTTTAAAGTGGATAATCAGTGTATATGCCTTTAAATTGTTTCTGGATTTCGTTTTCTGACATCCCTGTTCTTGTTCACTGAATCTTTGTCTTTTGTTTTAGTGTACTCATAAAGATGACAAAGGCACTCCTTATGGTATTGGATCACTTGTGGAGACGTTGAACAAAGGAAAGAGGAAGGAGAGTTATGCGAGCTCTTCTACATCAACCACTGTGGAGCTTCAAGAACAGCTGCGGCGCAAGATATCTGAACACGATGCTGAAAATGCAAGACCTGATGAGGAGCACCGCCAATCTCAATCTCGTATCTCCAGCTTGGAGAAACTTCTTGAATTCATGAAGGAGAAAGATCCTGAGTTGGCAGCTTTCTTGTCATCTGCTTCTACAGCACCTGAACAACCCAACCAAGCAACCACCACACCTACAAGCATTTTACCAACCACAACAGCTACAACCACCCAACCAGCCATCCCAACCGCAGGCACCACAGAAGAGACAGGATTGGCCAAGAGAGTAGCATCCTCCACTTCACCTACTTTGTCTACTTCTTCTAACTTATGAACTTGAATTATTTGTTGGTATGTAGGATGATGATCCTTTTGTGTATGACTAGGAATCTAGGATGATAACTTATGTAGGATGATAATTTCTGGAATGTTTACTTGATTACTGTGTTTTATGGATATTTTTCTTTGATTAATGGCTTTTCAATTCGGAAATTAATTAGGTTTATGACTGTTAACATGTCACTAATTTGTGACCAGACCAATAAGAAACAAATGACCATTTTGTGACCAAAACTATTCCACATATGTGACCACTTTGTGACCGACCATCTACAAAGCTGTGACGATTATGTGACTAAACTAAGTTTCACAAACTATAAAACTTGTGACAATATGGTTGCTAATACGAGACTATAAAACAGTGTCTTACAAAGGTCGCAAATAAGAAAGACTCTCTTGCGACCAAATTGTAACTTAAAGAAACGTATATAGCGACTAAAGTGGGACTACTTAATTTTTTCACCTACGAAATCTTAGTCTCTAATCTGTCGCATAACTCGGACTCTAATGTTAGTCCCAAAACCGTTGCAAGATAAGACTGGTAATTATCGTCACAAATCGGTCTCGTAGTTAGCCTCGTTGCGTTTTAGTCGGGTATCTACAACTTCCAATACTAGTCACAGATGAGTCGCTTATTTACGACTATTTATGTTGGTCAGAAACTAGTCGCAAATAAGTGACTAATTTGCGACTGATTTATTTTGCGACCAATTTTTAGCGACCATTTAAATTAGTCGCAAAACTGTCGTAAATAGAGTATTTGCGACTGTTTTGCGACTAAAATGGGAGTCGCAAACGGTCTGTTTTCTTGTAGTGTCATTAGAGCTGTCAAACCGAATTGATTCGTCCCGTTAAGCCCGTTTTGCGAAAAGGCAAAAAATATTTTGACTTGTAGTTAGTCGGTCCGCACGACCCGCATATAGCATATATGAAATACAAACCCATCCCGCGAATGTATGCGGATTTGCGGAATTGTCTGTGAATTTTGTTTAAATAATTTTAAAGTAACCAAAATTTAAAATACTACTAAAATAAATAAATAAATAAAAATACTATTAAAAGTTTGTTTAAATTACCACATGTTTAATAAATTATAATTTTATCAATAAATACTAACATGCGGGATGATCCGCCAATCTGCGGATAAAAACCCATTAAACCTATGATCCACTGCGAATTAATCCATGTGGTCCGCTTATTTGCGGGTTTAATATATTTTCCTAATTCTGCCCCATAGTGAGATGATTTGGGCTCGATCCGCGGTTTTTGACCTTAAGTGACTGCTCTATTTCCCATGAATCGTCTAATTTTAGAATTCTAAAACACAAAATTCTATTTTGTAAATCATAATTAATACGATGAGTTTATTTATAAACAATTTAACATTTTTTTTACAATTTGTTATTATAAATATTTATAAGTATACTATACGATTCGCTCTACTAAAAACACACACAATATTAAACTCAACGTATGTAAACTAATATTCCCCGCGGTGGACCGCGGGTCCGATCCTAGTTATTTTTAAAAAAGAAGTAAGATAGAAAGAACTTGATAGAATCTCGAAACCAGTACATAAGGAAACAAATGCAATGAAGAGTAAGCAATTTCTGACATTTCGGAGATAAAGGGATGAGAAAGCAGACGTAACCAACCAACTAAATTAATAGGTTAACAGCTAACAAATTTATTTTCAAATAATGAAGTTAGCCAGAAAATAGTAAAAACAATCTCGACACCAGTACAAAAGAAGGTAATTAATGCAATAAACTGTAATAAATATATGACCAGGTAAATAAATGTATTCATAAGAATATGTGACCCAAATTATTAGTCGTTACTTATATGTTAACAGAACTAGCAATTTAAAAGTGTGATCTATATAGTAATAAAACCAGTAGACGTTAACAAATGTGTTTTCAAACAAAGAGGTGAGACTTAAAAAGCTTTAAGAATCGTTAAACCAGTAAGAGAAAAGGTAACAAATGCAATAAACAGTAACACACAAATTGCATGCCGGGTAAATAAGTTAACGGATTGAGAAGAAAGAGTCAGCAATCACTTAACAAAAGTATGATCTATATGGTAACCAAAACAGTAGACAATAAGTAATGCGTTTTCAGAGAAAGAGATAAGACAGAAAACTTTTTTTTTTATAACTAAGACAGAAAAACTTTTAGAATCGTTAAACTGGTAAAACAAAAGGTAACGAATGCAAAATACAGTAACCCAAATATTTCCGGTAAAATAAATTAATTTATTTTCTTAAAATATCTCTTAACAAAAGTATTTTACCTATAAATGTTACCCGGTAACGTATGTGACTGGTAAAATAATTAGGAAGTGTTGGAAATAAAAAACCAAAACACGGGTATGCGATGCTAAATATATTAATAATGTAAATTTAATGATTTTCAAAGAAAGAAGAAAACCTTATAGTTTTAAAGACCCGATAACAAATGTACACTTATTATATATAAGCGAAGACATAAATAGTACCAAATAATATTATAATTAGCAAATTGTAGTCGGTACGAAAATTGTTTTCAAATAGATCCGGCCGTAAAAAGTAGAGAAACGAAAAATAAAAAATAAAAAATGTTTAAATAAAATTTTAATCGGTAATATAAGTAACGGTTAACATTATTAGTAAATAGCGTCTGGAAGGCTGAGTAAAATCAATGTAAACAAATTTTTATACTGGACACAGTGGAAAAAAGGTAAAAGATATGTTAACATTTAAGTAGATAACAAAACAATTACCAATTAAGTAGCCAGGGTAAGTATAATAATGTTTGCGATACGAAAGACATAGAAAACAAGAAACAAAATTAAAAGGCGGTAAAATAAAGATAAGTCTAAGGGACACCAGCAAATATAATAGCAGACACAAGTTTTTTGGTTTCGGAGATAAGACTTTTATGGTGAAAGTCATGACATTGTTCCATCCCACTGGTTGCATGGGCATGAATGAGGAATCAACAGACGTAGCCACCTGAGGGATGCGGACCTTTCAATGGTAAATGGAGAAGTTAATAGTTGACTCACTCTTGGATTAGCTGCTGCTTGTTTGAATAGCACCGGAAGCATTGCCGTAATGGGTTATAGGTCCAACTTGATAGTTTTGTCGGTGCGCAGATGGACGTTGCAATCAAGGACAGTTATCTTCCTAGAATTCTAATCAACAACTAAAGCCACCCAATGCTTTTTTTCAAAGTTGAAGGGCAAGTATAGGTAGTCAACTTCAGTATATAACTACACCCGGTCAACCTCCCCGACACCACAGACAATATCAATCATAACTGATGGAAACTGAAATTCCTCAGGTGAATGAGCTTTTGAATACTTCGGATATAGGCGACATAATTGGGAGACAAACTTAGAAACAAGGACATGAACTCGAAGCTTTTCCCCATCTAAGTCGTCTGTCCTCAGTAGGTGCCTGCTAATATCAAAGTTATCCTTATCATGTTTGCCATTGGTTTCTTCCTCTCAGCCAACTCAAGAATGTCTTTGCTCGCAAGGGATACCTCGCCCCCAAGGGAAACAGAACTATATCGGATAACAAGATGGTTAGAATACTATTAGTGGATAATAATTAGCAAAAACATCTAACTCCAACGTATACAAATATATACAAACCTTATAGCTTTGAGTTTCTTCATAGAATTGTTGAATTGCTCTTACGGGTCAATTGGAGACAAGGGTAGTTTGGGGATATTAGCTGCGGGGGAAGGGTGACCAACCAAACCCTTGGTTTTCTTGTCAAACTGAAAACGGCCATCTAGCTTGCTAGAAATGGTCATGAGTCTTTTACTCCTTCGCCCCGGAGGAACTGCAACAACACTAGTCTAAGAAGCTGCCTCCTGCTCTTGTCCTTCTTCCGATTAAAAAGAGACGAAAGTATGCGACTCTCCCGATTTCCATATTTATTTTCTTCGTTGGTTTCCAAAAAATCTAGAAAATGATATCTAAAGAGAGATCGCATATCTAAACCCTGACACACACAACCTCTGAACCCTATTTCCTCTCTCTTACACGACCATAGATTTGTAGGGGTTTAATGGTCTCTATGTCGAGAACTGTAGACGGCTGAATAGGACAGTATTGTGTTAATTATTAAGTTTTGCATTGGCACCACATGTAGATACCCTTTCTTTTAACGTCTTTCATTAATAAAAGAAAAAGATAGTGTGCAGTGGAAATAATAAAACAGAGCAACAATGAGAAGAGAACCAAATCAGTGCAAAACTATTACATATATATTATTTTTTGGATAAACCCTATCGGCTGATCCGGTCGGCCTCGGTAGGAACGCACCGAGGTGCTACAGAGAGGACAACATACATATATTTTTTTTGAAACCTTTTTTTGGTAAAAAGCTATTATTATTATTTTATTTTATTTTTATAATGATGAAATTATTACATTTACCATGAATAGTGGACTGAATAATTTACGACTTGCAAATATTAGAAAGCATTATGGCTAATATGTAATTTAATTATTTTTTACTCTTAAAAGACTTTTTTCTTTTTATGTTACATATATAGTTTTGAGAGATTTGTTTATGGTAAACACTTATTACTATTATTATTTTATTTTAAAAATGATGGGATTTCTCATTGGTGTTGGTTCGTCTTTTGCTACATACTTACCTCTGCTCTGCATCATCCATACTTGGATCCGTTGGTTCGCTTCTTCCAACCGTGGTTTGATAGTGGCCCGTAGCCTCAGATGCAAGGACGACACTGAAACCACTCTTGCAATGACACTAGCTGTGTTGACTCTACAAGGAGACTAGTAACTTCAGAATCAATTCACATGTGTGTAACTTGTTCTGTAGACTGTTCAAGTGCATACCAAACCACAACAGAGACAAACCCATTTCATACTTAAGAGCTCTAAAACCATTGAAGAGCTTGAATGACCTCCTCAAATCAGGAAATGTCACACAGCACAGCAACTGAGGTCTAATCCATAGTAGCCTCTGGTGATACTCTGATTCCAGTCGTTGTTATTATCCAAAGAAAGAGACCAGAACATT